TAGGAACCATACCACAATAAAGTTGTCATACACAAAAAAATATGCCTTCTCTATCATGACTTCTGTCTGCTACTGGAGATACTAACCTGCATAATAAGCCAAGTAATAAATGGCATATGGGTCAGCGAAGAAGAAAGCAAGAGATCACCATTTATAGAGGAAGGGATGTGGGGGAGAAAAACCCAAATGAATCTGTAAGTGAAGGAAATCCAAAAGAATCTACAGACAAAATATTAAAGTTAGCAAGAGAGTTTAATAAAGATGCTGAATGGAAAGCTGGTAACACATGATTCCACTGCATTTCAATGTCTCAGCAACAAACATGTATAAAATATCATTCTTCAAAAACAATGACTTATTGTATTATAGAATTTGTAAATATAAAATTTTGGTATATAAATCTCACAAAATGAACAAGAACCTTTATAGAGAAAAAAACTTTATTAGATTAAAAAAACTTTATTAGAAGACATTATTAATAAAATTTATTAAAAGAATTTCTAAATAGCTGTAGAGAAATTTCATGTTCACATTTTAGAAGATGAAATATCAAATGATATGAGTTCTCCCCTGAATTGATTTAAGGATTCCATATAATTATAAAAAAAAATCCTCACAGTATTTTTTTGTGATTGACAAAATAGTTCTAAAATTTATTTAGAAATTTATAAACAGTCAAGAAACTGCTAAAACAGATAAGAGGGTCTCACAATAACTGATAACTAGTAATTATTATAAAGCTGAAACCTGTGAGAAACAGACACAGCATTTTTTAAAAACAGGTAAGAGAAACTGAAGAATTGTGCTCTACACTGGAATTTGACAGAACATTGTAAAATGATTATAAATCAATAAAAAAAAACCAAAACAGGTAAAAGACCTGAATGGGCTCTTTTCAAAAAAAAAAAAGAAAATTCAAATGACCAATAAACAGAGGAAAAGGTGCTTAACCTCTTTAGCAGTCAGGGAAATCAAAATTGAAAACATACTGGGGTGCTATTTTACACTCACCAGATCATCAAACATTTCAGTCTGACATTACTAGGTGTTGGCAAGGATTCTGTAGCTTTGGGAATGCTCCAGTAGAACTAACTGGTGGAAGTGTAGGTTTGTTCATACCTCTGGGAAAGAGTTTGTCCTATCTAGTAAAATTGAGTATAGGCATCCTCTAGGACCGAGCAATTCCATGGATGGACATGGGTGAGACTGGTCACTGCAGCATTGTTCGTATCAGCAAAGTTCTCAAGACAAACCAAACATCCATTGGCAATGTAATGGCTAAACAAATTGGGATAATTGTACAAGGGAATATGCCACAGTGAAAATGAAAACATCGCACTACACTCCTCGATGCGGATGTTGAGCTCATGAAGCAAGATGCAACATAATACATGCAGTATCACTCCATTTACACATACGGTAAAACTGCAAGGGAAAAAACAGGGAGGCTTCATACCAAAGTCTGGCCAGCTCATCTCTGAGTGGGGGCGAGAAGGGGATGTATTTGGGGAGAGGCACCCAGAAGACAGAAGGTATTTTGATGCTGTTTCTTAACTTGGATGATGAGTATATCGGTGTTTATCTGATCATTATTTTTTTAAATATACATTTACATTTTCATGTTGGAATATTTAATACATAGTATGATTTAAAAATTAAATAACAAGCAGAAACAAAAAGGAATTGGACTGGATAATATTTATGAACTTCTTCAGCTCTCATTCATTCATAGGAGAAATACTTTGGGAGCACTGGGCTAGGTCCTGGGGCTTCCAAGGAAAACGAGAGACAAGCTGTCCTCTACCTGTTACTATGCAGTCCTGGGGTCTGCTGAGGCCTCACACCTCTCTGGCACCGGTCAGTTCTCGGCTTCAGTGCGTCACTCCAAGCCTCCACTTTGTGCAAAACACAGCCCATTCACAACACACACACACCCCCCCAACCAACCACCAAACAAAATACAGAAAGCAATCCATTCCAACCAAGAATTTAGAAATTTTACTGTACCACCTCTTACAAGATTCTGGTACTCTTTCCTCCTCTCTCTCTTCTTCCAATTTCTCTCCCTACCTTGGTCCTCGTCATTCTCAGGACCAACACAAACTCCTCCTTTTGCACAGCAGGTTGTTCCCTTTGCTCCCCCATTGCTCAGGTATGCCCCTCAAGTGATGTACGTAGCTCTTCTGGACAAATCTAGTGGCCGCCCTAGAAGACATTGGATTCGATTTTCCCCATCTCGTTACAAGGCTCAGTGCATTCACTACTGGGACAGAGGAGCCCACCCAGGGCTTCAGGAGCAAACGCAGGCTCTGCTTGGGTCTTCAGGGTGAGAATGTGGAGGTGGCCCAGGAGGGAGCTGACTTAATGGATGGGTATGTCTTCAAGCAGAGAGTGGAACATTATTAAAAGAAAAGCATTTTTCTGGGAGGCTCAGAGCCTGGGTTCTTGTCCCAAGTGAGCCACCATGTTGCCCTAGAATTCTAGGAAAGTCACTGAATCTTTTTGAGTTTTAGTCTAGGGCTTCCACACTTTAATGTGCACACGAATCACCTGGGAATCGTCTTAAACTGCAGGTCATGATTCAGCAGTTCTGAGCCTGAGATTCTGTGTGTCTAACCAGCCCCCAGGCAATGCCAATGCTGCTGTCTGCAGATCACATCTAGACAAGGAATTAGGATCTTCATCTGTAAAATGGGCACAAAGCCTCCATGAGGATGCTGTGACTTAACGACGTAATATGTGTGACTGTGCTTGGGAAAATTTAGTGCTCCTTAAAATTGTGATGGGTTGTTATTATTGTGGAGCTGGGATGTTACAAGTTTTGTCCAATAAACTGGGAGTGGGATCCCCTATATCTTCACTGCCTGACATCTGAAAGATGGTCATACCCATCAGAAGTGTCAACTGTGCCAACATGAAAAGATGCTCAGTATCGCTAATTATTAGGGAAATGCAAATCAAAACTACAATGAGGTATCACCTCACACTGGTCAGAATGGCCATCATTCAAAAGTCCACTAATGGTAAATGCTGGAGAGGCTGTGGAGAAAAGGGAACCCTCCCACACTGCTGGTGGGAATGAAGTTTGGTGCAGCCGTTATGGAAAACAGTATGGAGATTCCTCAGAAGACTAAAAATAGATTTACAATATGATCCAGCAATCCCACTCCTTGGTTATATCAGGAGAAAACTCTAATTTGAAAAGATATATGCACCCCAATATTCATAGAAGCACTATTTACAATACCCAAGACATGGAAGCAACCTAAATGTCCATTGACAGATGACTGGGTAAAGAAGATGTGGTATATATACACAATGGAATACCACTCAGCCGTAAAAAAATGGAATATGCCATTTGCAGCAACATGGATGGACCTAGAGATTATCATACTAAGTGAAGTAAGTCAGAAAGAGAAAGACAAATATCGCATGGTATCACTTATATGTGGAATCTAAAATACGATACAAATGAACTTATTCACAAAACAGAAACAGACTCACAGACATAGGAAATAAATTGATGGTTACCAAAGAGGGAAAGCAGGTGGGGAAGGGATAAATGAAGAGTTTGGGATTAGCAGATATAAACTACTATATACAAAATAGATAAACAACAAGTTTATACTGTAGAGCATAGGAAACTATATTCAATATCTTGCAATAATCTATAATGGAAAAGAAATAGAATTATATACATGTATATATATGTATATGAATAGATTTATATACGTATGTATAATTGTCACTTTGCTGTATTATAAACCAACTATATATTTCAATTTAAAAAAATAAAAAAAGAAGTGTCAACTGTGCCAGGAGGACATACCAGCCCTCAATAGAGAGGTCCCTGGAGAGAGCAAATCAAAGATGTGAGGTGCTGGCTGGCAGATCTGCATGAGGGCCCAGTGACTTCCAGAGCTAATAGGGTGGAGAAAGAACCTGCAGAAACAGGAAGTCCTGCAAGACAGCAAGGCAACACACACACAAACACACACACACACACTGTCTAAAACCAGAGAGGGGCTCTTCTGTTAGTTTCACATTTTCTTTAAAGGCCAGAAGCCAATTAACCCTTGGTAGATCCACAGAGAGCTTTGAACACAGCCTGGTAAAATTAGAGCAGGTGCGCAGAGGGGCAGATGGTGGGGTGGAGCAGGTGAGCTCAGGACCACTTTGGTACTGGACTCGGGACAGGGATGCTCCACAGCCCAAGCACCTTCTCACCTGCCAGGCCCTGGGCCTCCACTTTTCCACACTGGCATGTTGCTCTTAGATGCTGCTCATCCTTGAGTAGGCAGCAGTGTGAACCACTTGACGGAAAGCATTTTAAGTGGCTTGCCCAAGTCACAGTGGAGTTCCTGGCAGAGTTGACTTGCAACGCTCCCACTCCAGGTTGTCCATCAGAAATGCATGGATGGGTTATCTAGGCTCTGCTTAGGGAGTATAAGAAATT